GCAGCCGAGACGCAGCCGAGGTGCAGCCGAGGTGCAGCCGAGGTGTGTGAAGCTCACATCCGGGTCAGCTCCGCCATGCGGCGCGAGAGGGCGACCACGTGCGGGTCGGCCAGGCAGGCCGCAGTGTCGCACCTGGGCGCGGCCAGGGCGCCGTGCGGGCTTGTGCGCGGGGTCGGCCAGGCAAGCCACCCCGCGCCGCAGCGCGTCGTCCACGAGTCGCGGCGATCTCGCGCAAGCTCGGTCGATCTCGGCTAATCTCGCGCCATGTCGTCCACGAGGTTCGGATCTCGGAGGTGAGAGGGATGAACTCGTCGGCGTCGGCGTTGCGTCCGCCTGCCCGCGCGAGGGTGGTGGTGCGGTGCGTGCGTGTGCGTGTGCGTGCGTCCAGTTCCGGCTCCGGCTCCGGTTCCAGTGTGGGGGCTGTGTGCGGTGGCGTGGCGGCTGTGTGCGGCGTGGCATGGCGGCTGTGTGGCACCCGAGGCGGTGGAGCGGACAAAGCGTCCCTCCGAGTGGCGGAGCAGCGCCTCGACCTCGTCGTCGGAGATGAAGTCCTGCGGAGGCAGCGCCAGGCGTGAGTGCTCGAGATGCTCGAGATGCGGGTCTGGACGGCCCTGGAGAGGTCTGCAGCCGGGACTGCGCCTATGGGTGCGCTGGCCGGGGCGGCGGCTCTCTCACGGGGCGGCGACTCTTGCGAGGGCCGGCGACGTGCGACTCGCGGGGCCGGCGCCGCTTGCAGACGACTCTTTCGGGTGCGGGCGCGCTCCTCAAACGTGACGACATACGGGTCGCTCGAGAGGAGCTGCGGCGAGTACTGAGGAAAGTTGGAGAGGGCGCGCTCAAAGGTCTCCTGCATCGCTCCGGGAGGGACCGCCGGCTTCGCTTCCGGGTCAACGGGGCAACGCTTCCTCCAGTCGAGCATGTCGCACGTGCCGCACGTGCTCGCGCACTTGACCTTCATGTAGGCCGGGTTGGCATCGCACTCGCCTGCAGCAGCCCACGTCGCGCACGCGCCCGACTTGTCGCGGTCGGCGCACTCGCCGGACGGCGGCGGAGGGCCTTGCGCGGGGCAGCCGCAGGACCGGCGGCAGTGCTCATGCATGTAGACCGGGTTGGTGGCGCACTCGCCCCGCTGTGCCCACAGCGGGCAGTGATCTGCGAGGTCCCCAGAGTCGATGCACGAAGCGTCGGTGTCGGAGAGGGCGGCGGCCGGCAGCAGGAGCAGGAGGCGGCGGAGGCGGCGTGGATGCCGTGATGTGTTAGCCATTGCTGTCACTAACTTCGGTGAAATAGAATTCTTTCTTTTGGCAGCAGCAGGAAAAAAGCCCGATGAGTCGCAGTGCTCTTGCGTTTCGGCGGTAGTGATCTAATCACCCGAATGCTACGTTCGGATCGCTTCTCATCGCAAACCCCGTCAGCATCTCTCTCTCGCAGTCCTCCTCCGGGAATGTACGTAAGAGCTACATACACTGTGAAGAAACACACATTTCTTGTTGGCTTCTAAAAATCTCTCTACACTGTGTCCGTGCAGCTTGACACCCAAGTGTTGAGCACCGGTGACTGTGGGAATGGGGAAGCAGAGTTCAGATCAGTCGAGGGAGTGTGATCTCCCTCATCCTCAACGGGCGTCCAATCGCAATCGGATTTACTACGGCGGTGGTCCAATGGTAATCCGCATATTGGACGTCCCCGTCCATTGTTCTCGCCGTTCTTCGGCGGGGCCGCGTCAGGGCGGGGGCGCAGGCGCGCGCCCCGCCCGGCGCGCAGGCGCCAGTGCGGCGCGGAGGTTCTGAGCTTGGGCTGACCTTCGTGGGGCCGAGGCGGTGCCTCTTGGCCCGCAGTCGGTGCCCTTTGCCGGTCGCACAAAGGCCAGCGCGGCCTCTGTGCGGCTCTCTCTGGCGACAGTCTGGCTGGCGACTGCCGTTTGTTGGTACAGCTCGCAGTGCCCCGGCCGTGCATAGCGAGCTCTACGAAAGTAACTTGCGAACACGGTGCTGGTCAATCCCTTACGAAAGGAACCCAGCAACGGAGCTATAGCACAGCAAGTTGTGATGTGCTTGGCTGCATTGCGCCTCGCATTAAGGGCTAGGAGGCTGGCTGTACCGGAGAGGAGATGCCGTGAGCAACATACGGCACGTGCCTCTGGGGGCCGGATGAGCACAGTGCTCAATGCCCTCTACGACCGTCGCGGATGCGACAGTTTCTGCTTCCCTGCGCTGTGCCCTGCGGCCTTCGGTGGGTTCACCTATGTCCGGCCGCTTTCACTTGGGGTGTCAAGCCGCAGTTTGGGGTTGCGTCGTGTGCCAAGCATGGCCATCACAGTCAGGCATGCTGATACTCTCGCAGTCTGCCCGTGTGTGTGCTTAGCCCCGCTCAGGCTTCTAACATGCTTGGTTGTCCCAACTTTGTTGCCACATCCCGCAGTTACTGCACTCTGCAGCTTGACACCCAAGTGTTGAGCACCGGTGACTGTGGGAATGGGGAAGCAGAGTTCAGATCAGTCGAGGGAGTGTGATCTCCCTCATCCTCAACGGGCGTCCAATCGCAATCGGATTTACTACGGCGGTGGTCCAATGGTAATCCGCATATTGGACGTCCCCGTCCATTGTTCTCGCCGTTCTTCGGCGGGGCCGCGTCAGGGCGGGGGCGCAGGCGCGCGCCCCGCCCGGCGCGCAGGCGCCAGTGCGGCGCGGAGGTTCTCCCACCCTCCATCCCCATCGCGCTCTATAAACTCTCACAAGCCTGTCTAGAGGTATGGGGGTTGCGTCGTGTGCCCCTGCGTGGTGTATTAGATCACCACCCAAGGTTGCGAAGGTAAAAGTCGACGCGTTGCGCTTTGCCGATCCGCACCTACCTACTCGGGTATGCTCTTGGTGGCGCGCTCACGCGGACTTTTTTTCCTCGCCTCATTCCAACCAAGAGACAGCTTCGAAAAATGGGGCTTCTGCTTCTCGTCGGCTTCGGCTTGACGGTCGGCTTGACGCTCTCGCCCGCCGCCTCCACCCACGCAGCCCGGACTGGGAGTGTCGTGTGCTCGGCCGCGCGGCCGTCGGTGGGGTTCCGCGCCTCTGACGAGTTCCGCCACGGGCACGGCGGCGACGCGCTTGCCTCGTCCAAGGCGATCGATGGAAGCGTTGCAATGATGATGAATGTGGATGGGCCCGCCACCCCGTCCAAGCAGCGTCCGCGGCCCGCGGCGGGAGTGCCGCTGCCCGCCAGCCCCAGTAACACTTTCCGCTACAGCGCCGGCGGCCCCTCGCTGGCGGCGACACGGGCGATCGATGGTACGGTCGCGATGATGCACGTGCCCAATGCGGCGGCGCCTCCGGCGATGCCTGACGCGGAGGAGGCGCCCCCACTGCCCGCCGCCGCAGTCATGGCATCTTCCAGCCGCCTCCGCCGCCACGGCTCCTCCCGCCGCCGCCACCGCCACCACGGTACCTCCCGAGCCGGTCCCG